TTAGCATTTCATAGGTTTCCGTAGCCGTTTTGGCGAGTCTTTGGCAAAATTTGATTTGTTCATGAAAATCCGCCATTCCGAAATCGCAGGAGGGTCGGTGTAATGCACTACCAAAACGCCCATAACTAAGAAACAAATGCTAATTCGAAGATGCCAGCTGGCACACTGATTCACTATGAATGTAGGCCGCACCCCCTAGCGGCAGAAGCTCGTACTACATCCGGTTCGCCCTCTATTGACACAGTCTGTAAACGTTCCGATCGCACCTCGTAAATAGTGGAACCCAAGTTTCATTCTTTGACAATCGAAAGATGCCAGGTTTCAGTTCTTTCTGTCGTTATTTTCTTTTGGCAGTCCCAGCTCAGGTTAGGTTAGAAAGGGAAAAAGAAAATGAACACGGTCAAATTAACAAAAGGAACAAGAAATTTATTCATATCTATAATATCAAGTGAAAAAGCACACAAGAATATAAATAAATTTGGCTTGGCAATATTCTCCAGACAACCTTCCTGAACAGAAAATGTTACGTCTTCGTATGCAATTCAAACACTGGGCCTAACTCATGGCTCTATATAACTTTAACGAACAGAAAAGAAAAAGTGATTTGACTCTCCCCTCTCATAAACCAACAGATATTTTTATCGCTACCGTGCTGCTCCCCGCCAAGGACAAGGTGTGCTCAGAAACTAATTTCCTCATTCCCCTTGGCACACAAAACTACGTATCCTTACACTGAAGACAATACATACATCCCATCCACACAAGTAGCCACCCCAAAGCCCTCTCAGGGAGGGGGCTTGAAAAATACATGCCAGATTAATGTCAAGAATTTTCATTAATCACCTGACCAGCTTCATGGTCTTCTGAAAATTTCTGCCACATTTAAATGGCTAACAGGGAATCTTCCTTTCTTAATTGTAGAGTATTATCAGTTATTATTGATTTTTCTTAGTCAACAAAATATTCACAATGTTGTCTGAAGATCCCAGTTTGTATTTACCCTGATGGGTGACAACCAGCAATAGACATTGACGGAACAACTTTCATCAACTGGTCACTGCAGTTCTTCTGTGGGAAAATAAGAATGGGGATACATGGGCCCCGCTGGTGCTCATACACAAAATCAGCGTAATTAAGGAACTCTGTTCATCTTACGTTATTGTTGCCACTTCTCATTTTCCTCTTAGAAGTAATGACTTCTGGCTGTCAGAACTGAAGTATGCAAAGGCCTGTCTCATTGGCTGGATATGCTCTTAGATTTCTTTTCTAGAATTTGAAAGAATCTGGAAATATTTTTCTCATTTAACCTTCATGTTCTCATAGTAGCATCGAACCTAACCTGGTTAGTCACAGAGAATAGAAAGTTGATCACAATTAACTTATTCATCATGGCTTCTTTAACTGATGAAGAAAACGTTAAAGTACCTGGAACAAAAATACAGTACGTTTACTTATGTCTTAATTATTAACCACATTCATATTCTCTGTGATACTATAGATATAAGTTATTTGCCAAGAACTTTGGATAATATGGAATATTCCCATATTACCTATGCAAAAACTCCATATTATCTGACATACCACCTGCAGACTCTGACAATTTAAATACACAAGAACATTGTTTAAATGACAATGTTGCAATTTGTGTGAATTCGGATGTTCTAAAAGAAAGGTGGTATACAATTTATCTACCTAGAGACACTTCAGAATACTTCAAAATGTTCTGATTGACATGTTGTTTAATGCAAGAGACATTTTATCACTGCTACATCAGAGAACTATGACAGTATTAAGTATATCATTTTCAAATTATTGCCTTCAGAGGGCAATACAGACTTTACTTGGCACAGGAGTATTCCATATTATCTGTCTGTTGAGTGTTAGTACCTTTTCAAATTATTGCCTTCAGAGGGCAACACAGACTTTACTTGGCACAGGAGTATTTCATATTATCTGCCTGTTGAATGTTTGTACTGGCCCCTCTAATCCCATTTATGTGTGATATGCGATTCACAAAATTCTCAATTTGCTCTCACGGGTGCTAGGTTATACTTTTGTGATAATTCTTGCTTAATAAGTATTTGTGTTAACCATTTTACTTTCATACTGTACAGTGTACGAGTATTCCCACATGTGAGCTGGTACAGTCCTTGACAGCTTGCAAAATTGTCGCTTACGTAAATAGTGTTTCTGAGCATGTTATGTTTGTAAGATTTGAGGTTTTTACAGCGGTGAGTATGAAGATTTCTGTCTTCTGGGTTGTTGCGCTGTGTAGTCTGGTCGATGTTAACCGACGTTTCAGAGGTCATACTGCCTCCGTCATCGCTCTGATGATGGAGGCAGTATGACCTCTGAAACGTTGGTTAAACATCGACCAGACTACACAGCGCAACAACCCAGAAGACAGAAATCTTCATGTTATGTTTGTTTATGTGATCTGCGCCGCCAGATGTACAATGATCCGAAGAACCCGCGCCATGCTCATGAAGAAGCTGTAGCCTTACTGGTGCTGTCAGACGCCGATCATGATGGCAGCCTTTCTCTGCAAGAAATACTTAACAAGATGGATCTCTTCCTTGGAAGCAAGATGGTGGACACTGCGTACAGTTTCCATGATGAATTCTGAGCACAGACAGCTTCAGTAATCATGGTAATACTTTATGTTTTGATTCGCATGGAGCAAAGCAGTCAGGAAATTGATCGGCACTTACTGTTAATTTGATTGATAAACAAATGTAAAGCTAGGAAATGTTAATCTGTTTAATTAAAAGTTTCCATTAGTGCATGTGAATGGGTAAATATCAACAAAGCTGTACCTGTGGTGTTCAAGCTATAAATTTATTTGAATACTTTCCATTCAAAACAAAATTAACTAATGTACACTGTAAGAAGTAATCAACAAAAAATTTAAGTTTATGCATTTGATTTGGTGATGTATTTCTTCATGTCGGCTAATTATGTATAATTCACTTTAACCTTTTTGCATGGGGTATTAAAATCAGACCCCAACCTACTGTGAAGGAAATTTCCAGCAGTTGCATGCCCACTTCACTAGCCCACGCCGTGTAAGATTTACAAATTTCCGCGATCATTTACTTCGTGAGAAATCCGTAGGTCTGATAGATATACCATATGAAAGCCAAAACTTTCATACTATAGGCTATGCAAGTAGAAATTATTTAATTCAAAGACTGTGAGGTGGAAGTTATCTGTGTGCAGTGCATTTAAAATCGACAAATGTCCAAGATGGTTTATTCATTGATAGGTCAACAGACGTGGCTGATACATATACCGAATGAAAGTGCAGACATTGTCTTGAATGCTATGCAAGTAGGATTTATTTAATTCAAAGACTGAGAGATGGAAGCACAAAGCAGGAATTGTAGTCTGCTTACAGTGCACATTACTCCACAGCGGTGGATGGTAGCTTTGTAACGTGCGTTACACGACATTCCAGGGTGATGGGTTAAGCCTTCAGAGTTGAATTGTTTTCAGTCTGTTGCTTTACTTGGTATGTCTAATATCAGAGAGCAACCACATTTGATACAGTTGGTACTTATGCTTCATAGTCAGTGTTTGCTCATGGTTTGAATCTAGGCTGAGAGACTGGCGGTCCTAACTGTGGTTCTCATTGTTTGCCCCATCTCATTAGGCAGATGCTGGGCATAGTACCTTAAAATAAGCCACGTTTACCTGCTTTTGCAAACTTTTCAAACCACCGTTCACATTTGTCCCAATTTTTCTTTCCATGTCACCGTTCACAACCATCTTTCATGTGTCATTTAACGCTACACAGTTAAATAAATCAAAGATCAAATAGACAAACCATCAGAAGCATAAAAATAGGATACTAATGTTTGTGAAAACTTTAAAACTTCAGTTTGTGTGGCATTCAGTCAATAGTTAAATTAATAGCTTCCACTTCTTGTACTCTGTGGTTAAAATTTTGTTTATGTGGTTAAGAAATTAGACATATATGAATACCATAAAGCCGAGGTTGTAACGGGATATGTGTCAAACAGACGAAAAGTTTGTCGAGGCATAAACGTACATATTACATTCCTTGGATCCATAAGTTAGTCAGGTGAAAGTATGATGTGGAATGAGTCATGAAAGTACAATATGTGTATACAAGTGCAATTCAAGCTATTATAAACTTTTCATATAGAATAAACAAAGATTTGACATAAATTAATGAACTGTTTCAAATAAATCCACACATGTACAGCAAATAAATTATACTATACAAAGACGAGAAAACCTTTTTCAACGTTTGTGAGACATTTTCGAACATTAGAAAATTTAACAGAGTAAACCGAGGTTATTTGAGTACCTTTTTAATGACACTGTAAATTGTGACATTTTATTCATAAGACTTGTGAGGCTAGATGGTAGACTTTTGAAAATTTTGATGCCAGCATAGAATGTATTTTGAAAGCATGGGAGATTGGCAGTTGGTCTATGAAGCTGATAACTATTCCTTGTGTTAATACTATATACAGTAGAATTTGTCTGAAAATCTTCTTCTTGGCACTACAGTTAATGGATATTCACAATTTTTTTTTTTTTATTTGTAGTGTTCTGTCTGACGACAGGTCCATATATTATGAACAGGATCCTTCCAACCTCTTCAGGTTGTCAGGGACCTGCTCATACATATATACATTCTTGGCAGAGATGATCAGAAGTGGTTTGCCATTGCCTTCTTCTGTGTGTGAGTGGAGTAATTGTTGGGATGCCACGGAGAAACCGGGGAAGCCCCCGGAGGAAACCTCCGTGATGCCTAGACCACGGCCTTGCCCAACACAAGTTATAAATTTGAGCACCACCGGGAATTGAACCCGGGACCCCATGATTACAAGGCTAGTGTTCTGACCGCTAGACCACCGTGGCGTATTCACAATGAGATTCATAAATGAGAATATGTATTTGCATGGAAGAGGTAAGATACCTGATCTCTCAAATAGACTTCTGCATGAATTTCTAGGGTTTTTTAACCCGTTTCACTCCTCGTGGAGCATAGGTGCTTCATTTTTTAGGTTACTTAACCTATTCAAACATTAGGTAGAACTCCTTGGACGAGTGATCAGCCTGTCGCAAGACCTCTACCTGTACACAGGACAGCACAACGCAGAAAGACGCGGACAAACATCGATGCCTTGAGTGGGATTCGAACCCACAGTCCCAGTGTCCAAGGTAATGAGGCCCTTGCCTCAGAATGCACGACCACTGTGACCAGCAATTTCTAGGTTTGACACCACCCATTATTCGAACAATTTTCTGTTTTAAAGTTATTACATACTTCATTATAGAGTGAAATTAGGCAAAAGAAATTGATTTGAGATTGTCAGTTTCTGACATGAAACGTAGATCTAACTGCATAACATGCTAAACCTAACTTCAGAATAATCTAATCATATTATTTCCAGTTAATGTGGTTATCAGTATGTGGACCGAGAAGTTTTATGTTGACTGACTCTTGTATATAATTTGCATTACAACCAATAGTTAAGGTATATTGTGTTGAATTTTTTGTTATAAATTTTATTATATTCGTTTCAGGGTCGGCTTGTTTGCAGTGAACCATTTGCTCATATGAGACAGAACTATGTTTGATGTTGAACAGAAGTCGTCAAAATTTTTATTAGAAATTATGACACTTGTGTCATCAGCAAATATTATGGGTTCTGTTTAAGTATTTATTGTTTTTATTGTTGGAAGAAGGTCATTTATGTAATTATAAAAAACAATGGCCCTAAAATTGACCCTTGGGGAACTCGATATTTTATTCTTCCCCAGTTTGAGAAAAAATTCTGAGTGTCAGGAGATTTTATTTTAATCTTTTGTTTTCTATTTGTTAGGTAGGACCTGAACCTTGTTTGCCAAAAAATTTAATTTAGTTAATGAAATTTCATGATTTACACAGTCAAAAGCTTTTTCTGAACCACAGAATATTCGTCCAACATGCATTTTTCAGTAAATAGATTTTAACACATTGTCTGTTAGTCTGAATACTACATCTTCAGTGGATATACCTTTTCTGAAGCCAAATTCTTCTGGGACCAATGTGTTGTTAGTGTGCATGTGATGGTTTAACCTGTGGTACATAACCCTCTCAAGTACCATAGAAAAAGTTGTTAATAGTGAAATTGGTCTGTAGTTTGTCATACTAGTTTTGTACAGAGGTTTTACCACTGAGATTTTAAGATGGTTCGGGAAAATTTTAATACTAGGAAATTTTACAGGAATTTAATTTATTAAAATTGAATCTTCACTGCGTAACTGATGTAAATTTAGACTCTCAGTAATTATTAGAAAAAGAACTTTTAAGGCACTAGCAACTGTTACTGGATTCTTCCTTCTTCATTGTTTGTAAGAAGAATGGCATCTATTCAGTTTAATATGTATTTCCTGTCTCCCATTTTACTGTAGCAAAATTTGTATATGTAAATATTTATTTGACTCATTTTCCATCAAGAACGGTCTAAAACAAGGAGATGCTTTGTCTCCCTTGCTCTTTAACTTTGCGCTAGAATACGCCATCAGGAAGGTCCAAGGTAGGCAGGAGGGTTTGCAATTGAATGGGACACATCAGCTATTGGCATATGCTGATGATGTTAATTTATTGGGGGACGATATAAATATAATAAAGATGAACACGGAAGTTCTACTAGAGGCTAGTAGAAAGGTGGGGCTAGAAGTAAATTCAGAAAAAACTAAGTACATGTTAGTATCCCGTCAGCAGACAGCGGACAAAATCGTATTGGGGTTGCTAATAAAAACTTTGAAAGTGTGAGAAAGTTCAAGTATTTGGAAACAACAATTACAAATCAAAATGATACTCATGAGGAAGTTAGGAGG